CACCGCAGATCAGGATTACGAAGCCAACGCCGCCGAGAACGCGGCGCTGGCCGGCGAAGCCGAAGCAACTTCCTAGGCGGAGCGGCGACGCCAATCGCGCCGGTTGGCCAGAACGGTTCCGACCAACGCCACCACGGAGATCGATATGGCAGCGATAACCGGAGAAAGCCCGGAAACCGGCGCGCCGGAGTCAATGCCGGCCCGATCAAGCGTAACCACCTCGACGGGAAGCCTGTCTCTGAATGGCCTCCCCCGCGTGTACCAGTGGGCAATAGGAATTGCCGTTATCGTAATCGTACTGATAGTGAGCCTGCTGGTTTGGGGGCCCGGGATGGAGTTCCCCAGCAAAGTGGACCAACTACAAGACGACGGCAGTTCCACAGCGGTAGAGATAAGCAGGCTAATCTCAGCCCATGTTAAAACTGGCACTACGTGGCTGGTGCGCAACTGGGGTGGGCTATTTGACGGCATTGATTTGTTCGTCACCTATACGATGGTGTGGCTAGAAGACGGGTTCAAGTGGATCCCGTGGCCTGCGGCTTTTCTGGCAATCGCTGGAGTGGCGTGGGTAGTAGCCGGATGGCGCCTTGCCTGTTTTGCGATAGCAAGCCTGGTATTTATCGGGATTATGAACCGTTGGGACAGCGCGGTTGAGACCATTGCCATCATAGTTTTTTCGGTGGCATTATCGGTCATGATCGCTTTGCCATTGGGCATCATGGGAGGCAGATCCGATCGGGTGGATAGCCTGATCCGCCCGATATTGGATGGGATGCAAACAATGCCGAGCTACGTGTACCTAGTTCCCGGAATATTGTTCTTTGAATTGGGATACACCCCCGCGGTTATCGCCACGGTAATATACGCCGTGCCGCCGGCCATCAGGCTGACCAATTTGGGAATACGTCAGGTATCGCCGGAAACCGTGGAGGCAGCTCGATCTTTCGGAGCCTCGCCCTTACAATTGCTCGCCAAGGTGCAGATGCCGCTGGCTCTGCCTACAATCATGGCTGGCATCAACCAGACGACGATGCTGGCATTGTCAATGGTAGTAATCGCCTCGTTGGTTGGAGCCAGTGGACTGGGTGAGGATGTGTTTCGAGCGCTGCAACGTCAAGACCCGGGAAATAGCGTGATCGCCGGGATGTCAATCGTATTGATCGCCATTGTTATCGACCGGCTCACTCAATCAGTAGCTCGCAGCCGGCAGGAAGCATTGAACGCTGGGCGTTAAGTAGGCCGCATCACCTCCGGAGAGTGGGAACTGCGACGGCAGGGTATTGGTCAGCCTGCAAATCCGACCGGGAAATCCGTGACGAACTATCAATCAGCCCAGCGTAACTTTGAAATCTTAAATGGGCGCCAGAGCGATGTTATGACAATAACCGGCTTGTCATATACCAAGTACGAAAACGTTGTTATGTCATGTGATTGCTGCTGTATAGTAGGTTTGACAACGATAATCGGCACTGCTATAACTACGCGAGTGCACTAACCTTGTCGGGACGAACCCGGCACTTGGAACGCGCCGCATGGAGGAAACTATCTTGTTCACCAAGTACAGATTAATCCCTCTGACGATTGTGATGGCACTGGTAGTCGCTATTACCATCGTTGCCTGCTCGCCGGCCGAGCCACAGACCATTGAGGTAACCCGCGTCGTTCAGGTGGAAGTGGAAAAGGTTGTCACCGAACAGGTGGAAGTGGAAAAGGTTGTCACCGAACAGGTGGAAGTGGAAAAGGAAGTCGAGGTGACTCGGGTCGTCACCGAACAAGTCGAGAGAATCGTCGAAGTCGAAGTGATGGCGCCTGAAGGTCCCAAAGATACTATCGTTTTCAGCGACCTCAACTGGACCAGCGCACAAATCCAAAACCGCATCGCTCAATACATCGTCGAGTACGGGTATGGCTATCCCACCGAAGTCATCCCCGGAGGCACGCTGCCACTGTTTCAGGGCCTGAAGCAAGGTGATACCCACGTCACCATGGAGATTTGGCTACCCAACCAGTCAATTGGCTGGGAGGAAGCAGTAGAACTGGGTGAAGTTGTTTCGGTCGGCAAAAGTTTGGTGGGGGACTGGCAAAGTACGTTCGTCATACCGAAGTACGTCGCTGACGCCAATCCAGGCCTGAAAACCCCTCAGGATTTGATGAAAGCCGAGTACATGGAGCTATTCGCCACAGCGGAAAGCCGGGGCAAAGCGCGGTTGGTGGGTTGCGTACCGGGTTGGGTTTGCGAACTAGTCAACGATGAACAGATCGAGACCTACGGCTTGTCCGACCATCTGCACGTCGTAAAGCCCGGCTCTCAGGACGCTATGTTCTCTGAGATTTACGGTGCCTTTGAGCGCAAAGAGCCGTGGTTGGGCTATATGTGGGGCACTGGCGACCCCGCTTTGAAACTCGACCTGGTGCGCTTGGAAGAAGCTCCTTTTACACAAGAATGCTGGGACTCTGGCAAAGCCTGCGCCTTTGATAACTCGTTGGTTTTGGTAGCTGTGCACAACAGTCTGCTCCCACGAGCCGGCGGGGTGATTGGTTTCCTTCAAGAATGGGAGTTCACCATCGACATTTACAAAGGCATTTTTCAATGGCTCGACTCCAACGAAGGGGCTCTGCCTAAAGAAGCCGCCACTGAATGGCTGAAAACCGAATCTGACATTTGGACCGAATGGGTAACCGACGAGGCCGCCGCAGGCGTACAGGCAGCCCTTGAAGCGGGTAAAGAAGCAGAAGGTTGGCCTGACGAATAGAAGGTTCCACAGCGGCGAACCCCGCAGTCCATCACGGGGCGGCTTCCTGAAGGGAGCCGCCCTC